AAAATAAAATTGTGGTTTATAATCATGTATTAAAACATATATGAATGTATAGTGACTCTATTGTGCCAAGATAATGAATTCTCTCATACTACTTCGGTTTCAAAATATGGTAGATGCTTCTTGGTATTTACGCAATAGTGACACAAAGATCTGATCTTCCTTCAAAGCCTCTCGAACGGCGTGGCAAGCAAGTGTTCTACAATACATAGTGATCAGATTGTATAACGACTGAAAAGGAGTTTGTGGCTGTTTGAGTTAGTTTTTTTAAAAGCTACGTCTATCCATTGCTATTATTATAATTATTAGCTAGTTAAAAATGAACAACGAATCGCATTTGGCCAGTTTTAACTAATATATAAGAAATAATATATATATATATATATATATATATATATATAGTGTGTGTGTGTGTGTAATTAACCGTATAAACCGAAATCGCACGGTTTTTCTTGATTTTTTTTTAAGCAAAAAACCTTCTGCTGAGCCTTTTTAACACGATGAATATCAAATTAATGTATGTCTCCGCTTGGACAAACCTCGAAAATTTGTCCACTTCCGCTTTATGGAAATTCACAGTGTAAACGACTTCCCTACCATTGTCTCGTGTACATATCACAATGAAATATTACCAGATAAAGCTTTTAATAAAACAAAAGCTAAATTTATTTTATGTTATATTTATTATTATTGTATTATACTACTTAGTAAACTGTCCGATAAGAACAATAAGATTATTTTTAGTTTTAGGTTGGTTTTTATTATGTCGTTGTATTTATCAGTTAATCTTTTATATTGGTTGCAGAATTCTTTTAATTGATCCTATTAAATGCGTTTTATTACAGTAATATTGAGTTGTTGTCTCTTGTGAAATAGACTAAACTATCGTAATTTTTTGAAGAGGCTCGCAACGTATGTTTTCATTTTTCTGCATGAATGTGTTTAACACTTCCTCTGGAGTATTCTTTCCGCCCCTTGATATTTTTTAATTGAGGATTTTTTTAATTCCTAAAAAGCTCGACTACAGAAGTGAACGTATTTTTTCATACTTTCCCTTTCTCTAAATTTTTACTATAAAATAAACATTTATGTCCCAGAAATTCTGATTTATGTACCACACCTTGGCAAGAACGAACTATAATGTAAAATGTTTTTAACCTTAAAGTTATTCAATTAATTAATATTTATGAAAGATATTGGTTGAGACTAACTAGAGATTACTGCATATTTCACCGAAATCGATGATGCATTAAAAATTTATAACTCAGAGTATTTCTTTAGGCTGGACCGCTGTGAAAAGGCCCTTAAAGTATTGATACTAGGTACAATCTTATATAACGCCGCCACTACGTGGGCTAACAGGAACGGCAATACGCTATTTATATTTTATGGGCAATAGATGAAAGTTTGCTTTTCAATGTTGTTAACAAAATCAGTAATGCATAAGAGCGCAGTTTATTGCAAAATCAAATCTACTGTTTTTAAGTTATTTATCAATAAACATTTGATTTTTTATGTACGAGGCAACAGTACAAAATATATTTCGAAAACCTTCGGCATCTGGGAAACCGCGAGTGCAACCGGAACTATGTTAAATTTCAATCAAACCGATCTTTCGACCAAATAAATCAGTAGCAGTATGTACTTCTCGATGAAATAGTTTGTAGGCGGCTATTTATTGCTCACGCGGATCCACTATTTAAGCCATGCACGAAATTACATCGAGGACGATCCCAAATTTCTAATTATATTTCATTCAAACTTTAAAGCAATATTTATTGTCACGAGCGGTATTCGAACCCACGATCTTCGGATCAATTCGCCCCTGCTCTAACCACTTGAGCTATTTAGTCAGAAATCGTGAGATGCGGTCTGGTGTGATGTAGGTTTCAGAAAATGATTTTCTGAAACCTACATCACACCAGACCGCATCTCACGATTTCTGAATAATTATCGATTAACGGTCACTAATCACCGCACACTTAAGCTATCGTGACTTCGATCCACTCGGATATCAACTTCCCGTCTCAACCTACAGCCTTTCTAATTTTCTTTCCTCTTTTGCCATTTTTCAAATGTCGTGTAATCAGGATTCAATTCTCAGCGTCATATGAAGTGGCCAAGGGGAGCTGTTAGTGAAGTTATACCTCGGTTTACTTAAGGCCTTCGGCTAAATACGCCGCTGCTCTACCACTTGAGCTATCGTGACTTCGATCCTCTCGGACACCAACTCTCTATCTCAACCTACAACCGTTTTCCCACTCTTTGCCATTTTCCAATTTCGTGTAATCGGATTGGATTCTCAACGACTTATGAAATGGCCACGGAGAGCTTTTTCGTGAAGTGATACTTCTTTTACTTTTTAAATATTAATCCATTTACGTTTGCGTGGTCAATTGACCAAGTTACTTCTTTCAATCAATTAATTATTCTTTCTATGTAAGGTCTTGGTTGAGATAAATCGGCGTATTTAGCCGAAGGTCGTGGGTTCGAATCCCGCTAGTGTCACTGACTTTTTTATCTCAACCAAGACCTTACATAGAAAGAATAATTAATTGATTGAAAGAAGTAACTTGGTCAATTGTCCACGAAAACGTAAATGAGTTATTTTTATTGTTCATACAAAAACACAGTTAGTTGTGACTAACAGTCATGTCGGTGGGTCGATAACTTCCAGCCCTGCTCAAGGGCTGAAGTTAATAAACAACCAATGAGAAAAAATGTGCTAACGAAGCGGCTACGTCAACACCAAAAGCAAAGGCTGCATCACCTTCTAATCAATAGATTTGTAACTTCCGAATTCATGATTTGCAATTAATTTAGGTAATGGGTTCATATACTAGGTTGATTTCCGGACACTTACAAAGAGACATGGGTTAACAGATTTAATAAAATATTTTGTGGTGATACGAGGCCTAAATGAACTACAATCGTGTCTGACTGTATTTGACAATACACTCTGCAAACCGACAAAAATATATTTTAAGTAATTTATATAATTTTTTAAAAGTGGGTTTCTGTCTTTGTTACATCTTTCAAAAATATTATATATCAATCCAGTTATTTTCCTAACATAAAAAATTAAAGATGTAAAAAAAAGATCCTTCAATTAAAGCAACTAAATAAATTTATTTTTTCTCGCAAATATCCGGTTGTTCTGCTTAAAAATTCTTAATACCTGTGGGTTTTATCAAATTCAACATTACTACAACCGTTAAAAGCGTTATGTCCCCTCTTTGAGGATTTTAATTTTAGGCTATTAAAAGCTAGAAAACAAAAATAAAATCAAGAGAAAACCGTCAAATGCTTTATTTTCTATCGCAAATTATAATTATTTACGGGAGCCAGTACGAGTGGATAATTAGATTCTAAATGCTTGTAAAGTTTCGAGCAGATCGGTCGACCCGTCTTAAAGTTATCGCCATTTTTGTGGTTTTCAAAAAACTTTGGAAAAGCGTTTGGAAGGAAAAAGATTTTTTAATTTTCCCCAAAATTTGCATTCAGCGGTCCTTGAGGTAGCAAAAAAACAAAGATCAATTTTGTTACTTTGTGGCAAAATACTCTAACATACCTTGCAAGGCAAGGATAAGAAAATAATACCGTAGAGCATATTAATTGAAATTATATACATACAAAGTTGCAATAACCAAAAGCCGCTCCCAGTAAAGTAAACCCAAACAATTTTGGTTTGAACGAAACAATTCAGATTCGTATTAAGCACCTTCTTAAGTACAAATTTTTATATAAGTGAAATATAGGTTATTTTGGGTTAATAATCAAGGACATTTTTTCCCGATGACCGTTATTCCATTTAAAAATTCGGCATTCCATTTAAAAAACGTTACTCCGTCATAAAATATTTATTTAATAGATACGAATTTGCTGTTCGTAGATAGAATATTTTTCTGTTTTGCAAAATAGTAAGACCTTTTTCTACTCATTTAAAATTATTGGAAAAACGTAAGGGTTAAAATTTGGAGAAGAAAACCTTATTTTCAAAAAATCTTAAAACTTGTGAATTTAAATTATTTGAACAAATATAATTTAGATAGCTAAAGTTATAAATATTTATAAATTATAAGTTACATATATATTTATGTAATATTATATAGGCTAAAAAACCACTTTTTCAGAAATCTTAAAACGTGTGAATTTAGATTATTTGAAGAAATATATTTCAGATAGCTAAAATTAAGTATATTTATAAATTATAAGTTATATATATTTATATGGTGTTGTATAGTATAAAACCCCTCATTTGTCAGAAATCTTAAAACGCGTGAATTTAGATTATTTAGACAAATATATTTTAGATAGCTAAAATTATAAATATTTATAAATTATAAGTTATATATATTCATATAGTATTATATAGTATAANTTATAAATTATTAGTTATATATATTTATATAGTATTATATAGTATAAAAAACCTCATTTGTCAGAAATCTTAAAACGCGTGAATTTAAATTATCTAGACAAATATATTTTAGTCAAACCATGAGAAAGTAACGGAACAGGTGTCTATTTTTTTAAAGATGTGATCCACAGCAGATGAACGAATCCCTTTGGGAGAAAGTGATTATACAGAACAGAAAGAGTCAGGGAACCCGTGGAGAGTGGGGGCGGATTTTAGATGAAGTGAGTATATAAAGCAAGATCAGACCTCTGAAAATTATAACACAACCATATCTCATCACCAATACCAACATGGAGAGAGTGAGTACACATTCACTGTAACAAACGCTCTTTAGATTTATGGTAGATATTGGTTGATCCCAATATAAGTTCATGTTACGATCGTGTTTATCAGTAAATTTTCAAATAAAAACCGCGTGATTTTTAAATCAATAGAAATAACCACAATATCACACTGAAAATGTCTAAAAACTAACTATATTTGCAGTCATATAAAAGAAAAAGTGGGGATAATATTTAGGAGGGGAAACAGTATAAAAGGAAAGATTGTTTCTCTGAAAATTATAACAGCCAAATCTCTTCGCCAAAACGGTCATGGCAAGAGTGAGTACACATCGACTGTCTTGCGGTACTTTAGTCTACAATTTCGAGCAATAAAAATATTTATAAATCCATTTGGTCAACGAGAAATACTTGTAACAATATATGTAATGAGAAATTTTGGAAACAATATTTGTCATCTTAGTGATGAAAACTAGAACATCGTACACAAGACAAGTTTTTAAAATTCACATTTAAAAAGTTACAGAACTAAAACAATTTATAATCATAAATTTAACATTTTTCCATTTGTTTAACAAGATATTTTTACATATTTATTGTACCATGTTGCTCACTAGGAAAAGTCTCAGGAAATAGACGCCAAGACCCCTATTCTTCACGTTTTATTGTACATTCTTCAACAAAAAAATTGAAACAGTTCCTTTTAGAGGTTTTATAGGCTCTTTCCCTTCTATAATTAACAAAAATTTCTAATTAATTTCTTATCTTTTCAGGCGTTGTTTCTTCTCGGTTTGTGCTTGTTTGGTGATGTTGCGATTGCTCAGAAAAATTTCAGACCGTCTAGAGGTCTGAAACTAAGTTTAAGGTAATACAGTCAGTTGATATTTGTTTAAATCACCAAGGGATTGGTTTTTTATTGGTTATTTTTACAATGATTAGTGAAGGAGGTGGTGGAGAATATGGCGGTGTTGGAGGCTTCGGAAGCGAAGGAGGAAGTGGAGGATATTTTCAAAGCTGGATTCCGATGAACAGCGGAAACAGTGGATTTGGCGGCAAAGGCGGCTTCTCCTTTATAGACAGTGGATTCTCCTTGAGTTCCAATGGTGGAGGAGGAAGTAATGGAGGAGGAAATGGAGGAGGAAATGGAGGAGGAAATGGAGGAGGAAAAAGTGGATCTGGCAACGAAGGCGGTTTCTCCTTTGGAGGATTCTCCTTGAGTTCTACTAATGGAGGGGGAAGTAGTGATGGAGGAAATGGAGGCGGAAAAAATGGAGGAGGAGGAAGTGGTGGCAATGGTAATGGATCTGGCAACGAAGGCAGTTTCTCCTTTGGTGGATTCTCCTTGGGTTCTACTAATGGAGGGGGAAGTAGTAATGGAGGAAGTGGAAACGGAAAAAATGGAGGAGGAGGAAGTGGTGGCAATGGTAATGGATCTGGCAACGAAGGCGGTTTCTCCTTTGGTGGATTCTCCTTGGGTTCTACTAATGGAGGGGGAAGTAATAATGGCGGAAATGGAAACGGAAAAAATGGAGGAGGAGGAAGTGAAGGCAGTGGTAGTGGAAGCAGTGGTAATGGAGGTAGTAGTAATGGAGGAGGAAAAAGTGGAGGAGGAAGTGGTGGAGGTGGATTACCTATCGAATTAGACGAATTCGAAACCCTTTCCCACGGCGGGGGTAGCAGCAGTGGCAGTAGCAACGGCGGCAGTAATGGCGGCAGCAACAACGGCGGCAGCAGTAGTGGAGGCAACAGCGGCGGCAGTAATGGCGGCAGCAGCGGTGGTGGGTTCAGCGAAGGACAGGAATTCTTCTTTGGTGGTGGATCTAGCGGTCATGGTCTCTCATTCGACGGAGGATCAAACGAAGGTCATGGTCTCTACTTCGACGACTTATCAAGCGGTGGTCACGGATTTTCCTTCGGCGGTGGCCCTAGTGAAGGTCACGGTGTTCTTTTGTCACATGGTCACGGTGATTTCGGAGGACACGGACATTTCGATTTGAGTGGTATCGGTTTAGAGCACGGTCCACATTCGAGCGGAGGATACGGAGGTGGATATGAAGGCGGCTTCGAAGGATACGAAGGCGGTCATGATTCTCACGTTTACGAAGTCACAAAAACTGTTCCCTACCACAAAACCGTCAAAGTACATGTACCGCATCCAGTCCCTCACCCAGTCGCTGTACATGTTCCTATCAAAATCCCCCATCCCTACGCTGTAAAAATCCCAGTACCGGTGAGGGTCGAAAAAACCGTTCAAGTCCCTGTCGAGAAAATCGTCCGTTACCCAGTTGAAAAACCCGTCCCTTACAAAGTTATTAAGAAAGTACCCTACCCCGTAGAACAACCTTACCCCGTTCCTGTACCCGTCTACAAGTACAAGACCGTCTACCACTCCAAGAGCACGCACAGAGGTCACCATAAATATTCTCAATAATTTCTGAAATCCAATTGTTATTGTTTTCTTGTTATTTTATTTATTAATTTAATATATTGTTTTTGTTATCGTCCCAAAAAGACAAAATATGACTGGAGTTATGTAGTTATAATATAATAAATATTTTTTTATATAAAAGAATGTCTTCACAATTCTTGCGCCTATATTCCATAATAGTTAATATTAATAATGATACCATCTAATAAAAATGCATGGACTCATCTCACTTGGAAATGAGAAATTGCATTCAAAGAGTTGAAGTACTAAAAATCAACTAAAGTTAATAAAAAAAATTTAAACCTTTATATCTTGCCAGCAGATTAACTTAGTTTTATATGTAATTTAAATTTATTTTATAAATTTAAAAAATTAATTAACTATTTTTCAAAAATTGGCTTGATCATTAGTCAAATAAAAACAGCAGCAAATCAAAATGAAAATACTTTACAAAATAATTCAAATTTCATGGAATAGTTTCTTGACTACGAACTATTGTAAGGAAAAAGTTAGTATTAATGGTACTCACTTGTCAAACAAAAATCTTAGCAGGCCCCTATTAAAACTATTACAGAATTACTGCAAGACTGAAATAATCTAGCCCCATAGAAATTATTATTTAGAGAATGATTTAGCAAAGATAAACCACTATAATTATATACTTCGGTAATAAAAATTATGAAGTAAGGCATAAATAAAGGGTTTTATATCTAACTTTAAATTCTATTGCCTCTCTTTTTTTTTAATTCTCCAGACACCTAAACTTTTACTTTTTGTTTAGCTCCTCATAAGCCAAAAAAATTTGATCTAACTATTCAAGATAGCAGGATACGAATAGGGGCCTTACTATTTCAAATTGCAAGATTCTCATCGACGTATCTTTTTTGAAAGGAAAAAGATAAATAAGGTGGTTCTCGGTTGCATAAGATGTCGATTTGCCGACAAACTATGTCGGGAAATAGTTTGTTGCAAATACCCTGAGTAAGGTGAAAAAGATCCGTTTGCAGCGTTGGTTCAGTGTAAAAAAAAACTTAAAAAATTGTATATTTATGAGTATCCTGTCGTTTGAAGCTAAGCCCCATTCGTTTCCCCCTATCCTCGAGAGATATGTCAAAACCTTGTGGTACATAAGGAACTACACAAAAAAGAAAAGCTCACGCTTGTCAGGGTTTTTCCATAAAATTTCTCACTAACACAATTAGGACAAGTGTTGAACTCATTCTGTACATCTTTACCTTTTTTTAAATAAAATTAAATTGGTCCTAAAATAATCAACTTTTGTATTGGGTTGTCCGGAAAATAATGCAGGATTTTGGTATTAAACAAAAAAAAAGAAACTAGTTACTTTAAAGCAATGTTCTTTAATCAAAATAATTTCCCATACTCTCAATACATTTCTCCCAACGTGTTGGTAACTTATTAATTCCGTCTGAGTAGAATTCAGAATTTTTAGAATTGATAAAGTCAATAAATGCATTTTCCAGTTCCGTTTGATTTTTGAATATTATGTGTTGTAAGTAGTGGTCCAGGTGTCTAAAAAAATGGTAGTCAGTAGGCGAGAGGTCCGGAGAGTAGGGTGGGTGAGGCAAAGTTTCATAGCCAAGCTCCAATAATTTTTGTGACGTTACACGTGACACATGTGGTCGAGCGTTGTCATGCAACAAAATGGGCCCTTTCCGATTGACCAAAGAGGGCTTCATTACTGCCAATTTCTGATGCATGGTATTAATTTGGTTACAGTATGATTCAGCATTGATGGTTTCGCCAGGATTTAAGAAGCTGTAGTGTATTAAACCAAATGAAGCCCACCATACCGTAACCATTACCTTTTTTTGATGAGTTGGGGGCTTTGGAAAATGTGGTCAGCGACGGTCGTTTTACTGACTTTGAGTTGCTCTGCAAGTTCTCGAACAGTTGTTTTGGGGTTTTCTTCCACCACTGATCGCAGAACATCATCATTAAGAGAGGAAGGCCTTCCACGACCTTCTTCATCTTCAAGGCTGAAATCTCCCTCCCGAAATTTTTTAAACCACCTTTGCACAGTGCACTCATTAACACAACCCTCGCTCCAGACTTGGTTAATGTTTCTAGCCGTTTGGGCTCCGCTTCGGCCGAGTTTAAACTCGTAAAAGAAAATCGTACGAAATTCTCGCTTTGACATTATAAGGATGACTGAATTATTTCCAAGTAGCGGAATGCTACAGAGGTAAACAAACAATATCATTTGGAAGAGGATTAATAAGTGTTGACATTCATACAAATGAGTAATCCTGTAAACGTAAACAGAATATTTTATATAGATTTTTTTAAATGAAAACTTAAAATCCTGCATTATTTTCCGGACAACCCAATATTTTATTTGATTGGATTTGGTTTCTGTTGGGTAGAGCCAAAACGAAGGTGGAAGAGGTCGAAAGCTTGGCAATTGTATGTACTAAGCCGGCACAAGGTCACTTACTGAAAAGTTCTCACTGAAGATGGTGCAATGAAAAAAGCGTTTGAATAACTCAACAAATCGGCGAGTGTAGATAGACAGAGTTTTGCCGGTTCAGGAATTATATAACATATGTATCATCATTGACCATATTTCTATTATCGAAACAAAAAATATTTTATCTAAGTTGCAAATTTATTATTTCTGAAAGGGTATGTATGCAAATCTTGCAGTTCTCGTTTAACGGTCATAGTTATTCAGCAATTTTTATTTTATTATTATGATTACTTCCTCTTTTCAAGCTGGATTCAAGCAAGTATTCTGTTTTTCATTTACTGTTCCCCGTATAGGAAAGTTTTTCCCGAAGTAATTCTATTTTCGGAAGCACGGATTATCAGTAGGATGGAGTTAAAAGCACGGTCTTCGTCATTTAAAGCTCTCGACTTAATGCAATTGAAATTCCGCAGCCCCCGTCAATTAAAACGACAATAAATACTGAATAATTAAAAAGTTGTGCAACGAGTATGTATGTATCTTAGGAGTTAGAGGCAGATGACATTCTAGGTATACCAAATGATGACACTATTTCAATGTACAATTGATACCAGAACGGGAAGAATGGGCCAAAGTAACACCACTAAAGGCAAATTCCTACTGGTACACTAACGGCTCCAAAACCGGCAAAGGTACCGGAGCTGGGGGTCTTTGGGATGAACTCCAAGACCGAAATGACGGTAAACCTAGGTAAATATGCTACACTTTCCAGTCTGAAATCATAGCGATTGCACAATGTGCCAGAGAAATAAAAAGGCTAGGAATACATTCCCGGACGATAGCCATTTTCTATGACAGCCAAGCGGCACTCATGCAAGGCGAAGGCAAAGAGTGTTTGGAAATGTATGGAGGCCCTGATAGAAGTCAGCGACACTAATGGCCTGACCCTGCTGGCGTGGGTCCCTGGATATTCGGGGCATAGAGGCAACGAAAAGGTTGACATGTTGGCCAAAAAGGGAGTCAACATGGACTCTATGGGTCCAGAACCCTACTGCGGCATAGCAGGATACATCTTAGAATGGATCCTTAATGAGTCAAAAACTTGGTGGAATAATACCACAGATATGAGGCACGCGAAGAGATTCATAGAAGAACCATCCGCAAAACTCACAAAAGAATTACTGGAAGGCAACCGCAACCGACCAGGATTCTGGTCGGACTCCAGACAGGGCACTGCCACTTAAGAAAGCACATGCACCGGAAAGGAGTACAGACAGAAGAACACTGTGCAGATACTGCCAGGAAGAGGAGGAGACCGCAGAACACATTTTATGTTTCTGTGGAGGTCTATGCAAGTGCTGGTTCCTGTAAGTAGGACAAGAAAAACCACAAGCAAGATCCTACACCAAGGAACCGCTGGCAAATCTTTCCGTAGTAGTACAGACAACACTCAAGGCTGAATTAACAGTAAAGTTATTTCCGTCAGGGGACTTCACGTCTAACTGATTGGAAACCGCAGACGAAAAGTTATAACTATTACCTATAACACACTTTTATTATTATTCTCAATTAAAATACCGGGCTGTACTGGGATTCGAACACAGAACCGGTAGGGTGGAAAATCAAAATCGGATGATAATCACCAGCCACGGCGGTCCAGGAAATAGTTTGTGTTAGAAACTTTTCCAATAATAAATAAGAATTTGATTCAACTTGTCTAAGCAGGTTTACATCTATAATGAACTAATTTAAATTATAAAAGGTGAAAATGCACAAATATTTGCACTAGTTCCGACGATGACACACGAATGTTTGAACATCTTATTAACTATTAGCAATCTTGTTCTTCTCTTCTTAGATAACTCAAATACAGTTAGGTTAAGTGGTGGGATTGTCAAGACGTAACATTTCTATTTTCTAATATTTTTCCATACGTGTTGGTTATGGTATCGGGTTATTTGAAAATATACTTCCTGGCACTTTCAAGCTGTTTTAAAAAGGAATGCTGGAAGTCATTTCCTGGTCCGCTATCAATAGCACACTTGACCATCAAACCAGCCACACCTAGTGAACGGGTCAGTTTTTTTTTTTTTTTCAAAGAGAGAAAGTAATTTGAAACTGAAACAAGTTCAAAATGAAAGTACTTTCCAGAATCCACAAATTGTCTAATTGGCCTGGCCGGTCAGAATTCAACCATTAGCGTAGTACGCAAATATGTGCTGAACAGGTTTATTGAATTTATTTTATAGACAACGGCTTTATTCATTTCTTTTTAAAAGTATTTTTCTAAATATGAGAATGTGAAGAATGAATTTGAAAATGGAAAATTTTGAGATTCCGTTTAATTTTGTCTAATATTGTACCAACGTTACCAAGCGTCGCCTTTTTTCTTAAATGTTTTTTATTCATTCTTCTTCTCCATTATGGGTCAATTATTTTGTATGTTTATTCAAGCCCGAATAAAAGGTATAGTTTATATTTATAGCGACGTTTCTGCCTCTTTTATGCTGTAGCCATCCCAAAATATTTGCTTGTGTTTTTATAAATTGTTATCTTTTGATTTGTCATAAAATAAAATTATATCAAATCAACATAGGTGGTAACATATCACGTGGTTGGTCACTTGCAAGGATT